CCCGCCTCTTCTTCATGGAGGGCTGGGGCGAGGGCGCGCACTTCGACCTCTACAAGCTCCTCAGCCCCAAGCAGCCGCTCCTGCGGGCCCAGCTGCAGACCCTGGGCCGGCTGCTGTGCTTCTCCCAGGCGTTCGTGGGCCTCTCCAAGGTCACCACCTGGTACCAGTACGGCTTCGTCCAGCCCCAGGGCCCCAAAGCCAACATCCTGGTCTCGGGCCACGAGATCCGGCAGTTCGCACGGTTCATGACGGAGAAGCTAAACGTGAGCCACGCGGGGGGCCCGCTGGGCGAGGAGTACATCCTGGTCTTCAGCCGCACCCAGAACAGGCTCATCCTGAACGAGGCGGAGCTGCTGCTGGCACTGGCCCAGGAGTTCCAGATGAAGACGGTGACAGTGTCCCTGGAGGACCACGCCTTTGCAGACGTCGTGCGGCTGGTCAGCAACGCCTCCATGCTGGTCAGCATGCACGGGGCCCAGCTGGTCACGGCCCTCTTCCTGCCCCGGGGGGCCACCGTGGTCGAGCTCTTCCCCTACGCCGTCAATCCTGACCACTACACCCCCTATAAAACGCTGGCCACGCTGCCTGGCATGGACCTCCACTATGTCGCCTGGCGGAACATGGTGCCAGAGAACACGGTCACGCACCCCGAGCGGCCCTGGGACGAGGGGGGCATCGCCCACCTGGACCAGGCAGAGCAGGCCCGGATCCGGCAGAGCCAGGAGGTCCCACGGCATCTCTGCTGCCGGAACCCCGAGTGGCTGTTCCGAATCTACCAGGATACCACGGTGGACATCCCATCCCTCATTCAAACCATACGGCGCGTGGTGAAGGGCCGGCCAGGGCCGCGGAAGCAGAAGTGGACAGTCAGCCTCTACCCAGGCAAGGTGCGGGAGGCGCGGTGCCAGGCGTCGGTGCAGGGCGCCTCTGAGGCCCGCCTCACTGTCTCCTGGCAGATCCCGTGGAACCTCAAGTACCTGAAGGTGCGGGAGGTGAGGTACGAGGTGTGGCTCCAGGAGCAGGGGGAGAACACCTATGTGCCTTACATCCTGGCCCTGCAGAACCACACCTTCACCGAGAACATCAAGCCCTTCACTACCTACCTGGTGTGGGTCCGCTGTATCTTCAACAAGCTCCTCCTGGGACCCTTCGCAGATGTGCTGGTGTGCAGCACGTAGCGAGCGTGCCGAGGCCGGGCCTCCGAAGGTGGCCTCTGCAGCTCAGCGTCCCTGGGCCCGCTAACCCCCGTGGTGGCTTCTGGAAATCCTGTGTTTATTTATTCAGCAGGCCTGCCCTGGGCCTGTGCCCCGTGACTTCTTACTGCATCTGGGGCGTGGGGTTCGTAGCACTCTGTGCTGCCCTGTTATGGTGGGACACCCCCTCCCGCACCCTTCTCCCTCCTGAGCGTCCATACCCCTGGAGAAGGTCCTTCGGGAGGAGGAGAAGGACGTAAGGACCCCGAGAACCTCTTGGGCCGAGTGATCGTGCTGTTCCTTACCGAGTCCTTCTGGTTGGTGCCCAGGTTTCCGGAAACGGCGAGTAATCAGGGTGGTTTGGGCAAGTGACTCATCAGCTTCCATCACCGTAAAATGCACCTGCAGCCCAATAAGGTGTGTTTGGGACAGTCATTAAATGATTATAAACATCTTGGCCAAGTCTCTTTATTAGACAGTAGGAAGTGGGGCTGGGAGATGCCCTCCTTTTTTTTTTTTTTAATCCTCACCCAAGGATATGCTTTCATTGATTTTGAGAGAGAAGGAAGAGAGAGAAACATCAGTGTGAAAGAAACATATATCAGTTGCCTCCCATTTGTGCCCCAACTGGGGGTTGAACCCACGACCTAGGTATGTGCCCTAATCGGGAATGGAACCCACAACCTCTTGGTGAATGGGATGATGCTCCAAACAACTGAGCCACCTGGCCAGGGCAGTTCTGATCTTAATTGTTCCAGCAAAACTGGGTTTAATCAACAGGAGATTTGGACCCTTACACTGTGGGAGGCACCTGACTGCCTCATGGCCTCACTGGCCGGCCAGCAGAGTCTGCTGCAGCCCGTGCTCAGAGACGCACTGTCATCTCCGGTGGAACCGGAGCGCGGGTGTTCTCCTCTGAAGAGAGAGGCCCTTTTTAAAAAATAGATATTATTGATTCCAAAGAGGAAAGGAGAGGGAGAGAGATAGAAACATCAGTGATGAGAGAGAATCACGGATCGGCTGCCTCCTCTGCATACCCCCAATAGAATCAATCCTGAAACCCGGGCTTGTGCCCTGACTGGGAATCAAACCATGACCTCCTGGTTCATAGGTTGACATCCAACCAGTGAGCCACACCAGCTTGGCTGGGAGATGCCCTTTAATCCTGATTGTCAACCAAGGGGATGTGGCAGAGGGAAGCGTCGAGGCCTGGGAAGTGAGGCCGCTGCCTGCTGGCTAAAGGCCACAGTTCCATCTCAGTGGGCTAAAGCTGGGAGTGGGAGGGAGAGGGCTGTGGTGAGGAAGAGCAGTGTACACCGGGGTCTTAGTTCCACTGGACACGCAGACTCAGGACCACTAGAGGCCACAGTGGCACGGGGTCCACTCCGAAGGATGTAGGACAGGACAAGGCAGGGTGGCTGGGCACGCTGGGCTCTGCTCTTCCACAGGAGGCGCCCTCACCCCAGTCCAGGGGCCATTCCCTTGCCCTCGTCCCTGAGTGACTGCGCAAGGGTGAGAGGAGACCCACAGTGGTAGTTGTGGGGGGCACTTTGGCTTGGAAACCCCACAGAAGCCCTTATCTTTTAAAAAGCCACAGCCACAGTTTCCAGGGCCACTCAAAGGACTTGTGTGGTTATAAGGGTTGTCGCCCTCCGGGGAGCTGTGCTGTGGTGTCCTGCCAGGTGCTGTAGTCCATTCACAGTCCCTCCATCCAGGTGTGGTTTGTCTAGCAGAGGTCAATTTTACCGTCAGCGGTTTTGCGGAATAAAACACCTGACGTTCCACCTTTATCTGGCTTCCATGGAAACAGCTAGAAAGTGAACCCCAGATCAAATTTGTCCCTAGAGAAGGAGAAAGTTTTAGCCTTTTCTTCAAAGGGCGACTCTGATACAGGTCTGACTGCTGCGAAGGAGAGATGGAAAGAGAGGTGTCAAAAGCCTTAGGGTCTCCGGCTGTAGCTCATTCTGAGAGATTGGCACCAGGACAATCAGTTTTTGGAGCTGGAGATGTCTGTCAGACGAGTCTCCTGGTCACTGGCTGAGCCACTGTGGGAAGAGTGGTCTCAGTGCCAGTCGGCAACTGGATCGATGGGAGGAGATCTGAGGGGCACATTTTCGTGGTCAGCATGTGTCTCCGTGACATTCCTTCTACCCAGAGTATCTTTCTCCCTAACTGTACCCTCCACCTGCCACCGTCTGACTGCCACATGGATCCACGTGAAAAAGTTCAGTTCAATCAGAAGTCTGACACTGCTGGGGGGGGGGGGGTAAAAATGGTGCAACCACGTGGCAAACCATTTGGCAGTTCCTACTAAAGGTGAACACATATCTCAGCTACCGCATATCAGCAATCCCACTGCTAGATGTACCAGTAGCCCACACATGAACGCCAGCCTCAGCAAGAAGACACGGATAAAAAATTCCCAGCTCTGGCCAAACCAAAACTAAACCCCAGTGGCCATCGGCAGGTAAATTCATGCGGAGGACACAGCAGTTACAGAAGAATGAATGTGGGTATGTGCAACAATATAAATCTCACAGACATAGATGCCGGGCCCAAAAGAATATATGCCATACGATTCCAGTTATATGACATCCTAGGACAGGAAAACATCTGTGGCAGCAGGTCAGAGCCGTGGTACTGGGAAGGGGTCGAGACTGGATGAACAGGGGAACTTGGGAATGTTGATCAGGGCGGTGGTTCCACAGCAGCTGTCCAGGCCGGCAGTCATCAGCTTACACCTGAGACTAGTGCACTTGACACACTTCCTACATGCACGTTACACCTCAGTGGAAAAGGAAAAACTCGGCTCAAGTGCTAGAAAACCCATGTGTGTCTCCTCCAGCTCCCTGGCAATTAGGCTGCCACATCCATCCCCCAAACCCCAGCTCAGCTCCCACAAGGAAAACTTCCAGCCCCCAGACCCCAAGTGCCTCCTCCCCATGGAAGAAGCCGGGGGCCAGAGAAGGGGAAGGTTCAGGGGCAAAAAGGCCAGCGTCCATGGTCCACAGCCGTAGCCTCGGTTACAGGGACCTCGCTTTCCAAACCAAATGCCAAGACACGCGCTCTGACAACCAGACGGCGTATGGAAAACCCGGCCTGTCTCCAAACATCTGGAACATGTGGCCACCACAGCACACGGCCTCTAATTCCTTCCAAATTGTGCATTCTCTGGGGAAATTTGCTCAAAAAGATATACTGAATGAATGAGAGAAGGGAGGGAGGGAGGAAAGAAGGTCCACCAGTTACCTGCTCTGCGACCTTGAGCAAGTGACACCCTGTCTGAGCCTCAGTTTCCTTTACTGTCAAATGGGAGCAACAAAGTCTGCGTCTTGGAGCTGTGCTGGAAGTTCGCGATAAGGAGCATGGGTAGAGCTCTTGGCACAGGGCAGGCCACTGTCCCTGCTCCGTTCATTCCAGGCGGTGCTCCCCAGGCTCACGGGCAGACTCTGCCAGCTCCAGCTCTGCAGCCTCGGGGACTCACTCCCCGCCCAGCAGAGCTTTGTCTGCAGCGGGAGGCTGCACAGCTGGGGTTGCTGTAGGTGTTCAGGAAGCCACCTGAGTCAAGCTCTAGCACCGCACCTGGCTGGTGATAAATCAGTTGTTATGGCTCCGGAATTCCAACCAGAACCCCGGGGGCAGCTGTGATCCCGAAGCCTGAGTTTTCCAGGTAGAAAGGCACCAGGTGTATGCGATCCCCGCAGCGGGGCCTGAGGCTACACCCGGTGACTGAAGTCTCTGAGGCGGAAGGAGAACACCCACGCAGCGTGGGACATGAGCGGCACCGGCCACGTGGAAAAGGTTTGGATGTGCAGAGCTCAGGGACTGTTGGAGTTGCACCGAGAGACGGGTGAATCTGCTGTGATCATCAGCCTCTCCCGCTGGGAAACGCCACCCTTTTCCCTGGAATCGCCTTTTTGGGGTGAGGTGCCAAGGAACGGGGTCAGGCCTGCCGTGCGGCCAGCCGGGCAGCACAGTGGCCAGTGATGGCGATGCCTCACCGGAGACCTTTGGCGGCCCCAGGGCCGCTCCTGTTCTCTAAGCCTCTGGGTTGGTGGGGATGTCCTGAGTCGCCCTCCCTGGCAGTTGGCTCCTCTTGGCACATCATTCTCATTCCAGAGGGAGCGGCTGGGGAGGCACAGGGCCAGCAGCACGCCCCGAGGCAGAGAGGGCTTTTTGAAAAGGATAGAAAGCGGATGAAGTTTCAAGTTTGCAGGAAAGACGCAGATCATAGACGGAGCAGACGTTAACAAGCAAAGAGCAGTGGTGGGGAGCCAACTGCCTGTGAATGTGCTCGGCCAGCGTGTCAGTTTGCAGCTCCACCTTCCAGGATCCGGGCCCTGCCTCGTCATCAGCTCTGAATCCAAAGGGGTTAGAGGAAGAGGAGCTGCCAGGGCTGCCGGAGAGGGCGGTGAGCGCGTGTGTTGGGGGTGGTCCTGGGCTCAAGACTGGTCAGCACAGCTCCTGCCCGGGTTTGAATTCTGGCCCTTCCGTCTACCAGCCGGGTGACCTTGAACAAGTTCCTAACCCCTCTCTGCCTCATCTGTAGGATGGAGATAATCATAATCACAGCTACCCATCAGGCTGTGGGAAGGTGAAAGGCTTTGCACCATGGAAACCACTGTCCCAGTGTGGGTACATGGTCACCACTCGTTAAATGTCAGTGGTTCTCATAGCCGGTGCTCAGTAAACACTTGTCAAGTGCTGACCTCAGATCCGAACCCTCAGCCCCTGCATTCAAGTCCAGTCCTCTGAAAGGTAAACTGAAAACAACTTAAAGGGTAGATATAGATATAGATGATAGAGATAGAGATGATGTAAAGATGATAAAGATATAGAGACATATATTTAAAGACTTTCTGAAGCAAGTGGGGACTGCAGGGAGACTTGCTGAGGAGCCTGTGCCCCAAATCCGAGCCATGGTCAGCTGAGGAGCAGCCAAGGTAGGGGCTGAGCTCAACCCTGGATTCTGTGGACTTGGGCAGAGCCCCCTGCCCCCTCTCTCCACCCACCTCCCCAGAGGAAGAGACCAGTGTTGAGGGGCATGCCCGGAGGTTGTGTCTTTGCTGGGTGCGCTAAGCCAGGAGCGCTGGGCCCTGCCCCGCAGTGCCACAGGCAGCTGGCATGCACTGGGCAGGCAGGGTGAGGCCATAGAGTATCTGCCCATGGCCCCTCTTTCTGAGCAGACCTGCTCCCATCAGAACACAAACGTGCTTGCTGGAAGCCTGGGGCCTTGCTCACTGACAGGAAGATTCTGGCTCGGTATCTTCAGAGGGGAACTCTACACACACACACACACACACACACACAGACCAGCCAGCCCACCCACCTGCTGGGCGGATTTCTCCTCCTTCCCCAGGCAGCCACCCAGACCTAGTTCCATCAAAGGAAACCTGCTCCGGGAAGGGGCTCAGTCCGCCTCCCTGAAGGGCGCTGACCAGCTGCCTTCCCCTGGATGACCCTCTAACTTTAAGCCTCTTGGTCAAGTGCTCACAGAAAGCCCGCCCAGATAGAAAGGAGTGCCCTAACTCTGCTTTGGCAAAGAAATGTCCTCACATCCCTCTGTCCTAACACTTTCTAGGGCAGGGGTCCTCAAACTATGGCCCGCGGGCCACATGCAAATACAAATATTGTATTTGTTCCTGTTTTGTTTTTTTACTTCAAAATAAGATATGGGCAGTGTGCATAAGAATTTGTTCATGGTTTTTTTTTTTAAACTATAGTCGGGCCCTCCAACGTCTGAGGGACAGTGAACTGGCCCCCTGTTTAAAAAGTTTGAGGACCCCTGTTCTAGGGTGACAAGAGCCTTGCTCCCACCTCTGGCTGAATGTAGGTCCACCGGGCAGGAGGGAGGGAAGGGGGACTCCAGATAGAAGGCGGAACAGAGACAGTTAAATGGACACTGTGCAGTCCGGAGGGGCACCCGCCTGGATAAGGGCATCCTAGGGAAGAACTGAGAAGGAAAGGAGAGGAGAAAATGCACGACGTCAACAGAACACAAACGTATTGGTGATTGTAAGAGAAATACCTGAGCCTTCAGAAGCCAAACTCCCCTTCCAAGGGCGTAAATCTTGTCCATAGTTGTTCAAGCGCCCCCCCACCCCCACCCCACACACACACACATCGGAAGCTCCTTGAGACGGTGGTAAAGGAGCTAGAGAAAGGCACAGGGCCCACCCAGGTGGTTTATGGGGAGTGTTAGCCAACCTTCGAGAAAAACATGATTCCTACTTAAAGTGTTCCAGGACACTAAATAGATGAAACCATCTGAATCCATTTCATGAGATCTGCTTAATTTAAAAAATAAGACTGCCAGGGAGTGCACAGAAAAGGGAAACCTTAGGCCACGTGTGACTATATCTGCAACGATTCTAAATAAAATGTTAGCAAATTAAATCCTGTAGTTCCTGAAAGACTAACATACCGCAGCCAAATGGGCTTATGAGAGAGAACCAAGATGGCAACGCAGGTAAACACCGGACTCACCGCCTCCCACAACCACATCAAACCTACAACTAAAATACGGAACAGTCGGCACCCAAACGGCCTGAGAGCTGGCTGGATAGAAGTCCTACTAGAAACACATGGCGATGGTGCGAGGAGCGGAGGCCTGGAGGCCGGAGCGGCCGACCGACACCCACGTGTGCTGTGTGTGTAACCAGGAGGGAGGTGGTCTCTGCAGAGGCCGCCGTGAGGAGCAGGGGGTCCCAGCCCCACACCAGACCCCCAGCCCAGGGTCCCAGAGCTGGGAGAGAAGTCCCCGTGACTTCGGGCCATAAAAACCCTCGGCGGTTGTGGCTGAGTGACAAAGAGGCTGCTGGAATCCCAGGGCCCGCGCACAAACTTACACGGTCCCGCGTCTTCTGAGCTCCAGCGCTGGGGGAGACACGTACAGGCAGGGACTGGAGCGCCTGGCATCGAGGCAGGAACTCAGGGGTGGCTTTCTCCCAGACCGGGGTGCTCACAGGGGTCGTTGTTCTGGTGCTGGGACCTCCCCTGTCGTAGGGCTGAGCGGCAGCCATATCTGTTTCCATCAGTGTGGCCCGTGCTGCGCTGTTTGCTCCGCCCTGGTGAGACCCCGCCCCATCCAATTTGCAGCAGCTTTTCCATAGGAATGGCCTGTCCTGGATCAGGCTTCAACCTGGGCCAAAATCTCTCTAACAAGCTGCAGCTGGTGACAACGTGCCCCAAACCGATCAATAAAAGGCCCGAGACCCGGCTCTAGCACCAGCTGGCCTTGCTTCCCAGCTGGTCCTCACAGCCAATTGGCCTGGCGTCAACTCCTCCCAGAGACGCCAACAGCAATCAAGGATCAGCTACAAGATGGTGCACACAGCCCACAGAGGGGCGCACCTAGAGGGCCCAGCTCAGGCGACTCGGGAGGCTGAGCCACTGGGCCCTACAGGACACCTACTGCACAAGGCCACTCTACCAATTCCAGGAGACGTAGCTGCTCTACCCAATACACAGAAACAAACACAGGGAAGCCGCCAAATGCCAAGGCAAGGACACATGTCACAAATGAAAGAAATGGAAGCAAACAAACTACTGGGTACGGAGTTCAAAACCACAGTTAGAAGGTTACTCAAGGACCTTCAGGAGAGCTTCAAGGGACTTAGTGAGACTTTCAAGGATCTTAGTGGTTTGAGAGTGAATGTAAATACTAAACTAAAGCATAGATTACTTCACTAATCTTGCAATAGTGACAGCCTTTCTCAGAAGGCATGAAACTCAAGAGTACTTGAAGCGAAAGGAAAATAGATTTGACTCCATGGAAATTAAAATTTTCTACTTGGCAAAAGACACCATAAACAAAGTCAAGAGACAAGTGACAAGCTAGAACAAAATATTTACAACATAACTAAAGGGGAAAAGATTGATTATGCTCATTGGATTCAAATATCTAACAAATTAACAAGGAAAGAACAAACATCTCAAGAGAAAAAGGCAGCTCACAAAAAAATCAAATACAAATAACTACTAAATAATTGGAAAGATAACCTCATTAGTGATTAAGGAAATGCAGTTTTAAAAGTAGGTTTCCCTGCCTGGCTAGTGTGGCTCAATGGTTGAGCATGGATTTGTGAACCACGGTTTGAGTCCTAGCCAGGGCACACACCCAGATTGTGGGGCTTGATCCCCACTGTGGGCATGTAGGAGACAGCCAATCAATGATTCTCTCATTGATGTTTCTATCTCTCTCTCCCTTTCCCTTCCTCTCTGAAATCAATAAAAATACATATATTTTTTAAAATTATAAAATAAAAGATAAAAGTAGGTTTCCCTATCAGTTGAATAAAAACAAAATTTGAGCATAGCAAGAGTTGGTGAGGTGGTGGGCAGACATTCAGTCTCCCCCCCTGGTTGGAGTGTAACTTGACACCCCCATTTTGGAAGGAAATTTGGCAGTTTCCCTCAAAATAATAAATGCTCATACATGCCCTTTGATGCAGAAATCCACTTACGCAAATACAGCCGGCAGAAACAATTGCTCACCATGCAAAGATGTTCATGACAGCACTGTTTATGATTGGTGAAAAGATAGAGTCACCTAGTGTTCATCGTAATGAGAACAGCTAAGTAAAACATGGCACATCCCTGCCTTGGAATTCCATACAGTCATCAGTAAGACCTGGGTCAACCCAGGTGGCTAGTACGGAATGCAGAAAACAGAGTCAAGTAAAAGCAGTGAGCTGACAAACATAGATGATCCTGTCCTATATAATAAAAGCCTAATATGCTAAGTGTCTGGTCATCTGGTCGGCCATTCAACCAATCAAAGTGTAATATGCTAATGATATGCTAACACCACTCAACTGCTCGCTATGATGGGCACTGACCACCAGGGGGCAGATGCTCAGACCAGTAGGTTAGCTTGCTGCTGGGGTCTGGCCGATCAAGACTGAGCGAGATGGGCCAGACGCTCCCTGGAGCCCTCTTTGGTCCCTCCCTGGCTGACCAACCTCCTGTGTCCCTCCCCGACTCCAATCATGCACCAGTGGGGTCCCTCGGCTGGCCTGCGCCCTCTTGCAATCAGGGACCCCTCAGGAGGTATTGGAGAGCCGGTTTCGGCCTGACAGTAGAACAACCAGTAGCTATGATGTGCACTGACCACATCTGGTCATTACAGTATGATGGCGTTAGGGCCAAGGGGTTTTTATAATAGAGATTTGTATGCAGTGTGAGGAGTGTAAATAAAAATACAAACATACACATCTCTAGGGAATTTCCTGTTTTATCTTATGTGCTTCTATTGGTTATGAATCTGGTTTTGGTGGGCATGTATTACTTTTATAATCCTTAAACCAAAAACATAACTGAATAAGAATTGCCAAACCGGTTTGGCTCAGTGGATTGAGCGTCGGCCTGCGGACTCAGGGGTCCCGGGTTCGATTCCGGTCAAGGGCATGTGCCTGGTTGCGGGCACATCCCCGGTGGGGGGTGTGCAGGAGGCAGCTGGTCGGTGTTTCTCTCTCATCGATGTTTCTGGCTCTCTATCCCTCTCCCTTCCTCTCTGTAAAAAATCAATAAAATATATTAAAAAAAAACATAACTGAGTAAGAATTGAACATCTAATGCCTATAAAGATAAAATGCTTAGTGTTTCATTTTTTTAATGTTTTTATTTATTTATTTTTTTACAGAAGTAGCTATCTTTTTTAAAAAAATACATTTGTAATGATTTCAGAGAGGAAGGTAGAGGGAGAGAGAAATAGAAATGTCAATGATGAGAATCATTGATTGGCAGCCTCCAGCACGCAACACTGGGCATGCGCCCCTGGGGGATGGAACCCACAACCTGGGCATGCGCCCCCTGGCTGGAATCGAACCCAAGACCCTTCAGTCCACAGGCCAACACTCTATCCACTGAGCCAAACCAGCCAGGGCTTAGTGTTTCATTTCTTAGACCTGAGTTGACTTTCAGCCCAAGCAGTTCCAAGCAATGAGTATAATTCCATGAAGACCTTTTATCTCATATATGTGTGCAGACATGTACACATGCCACATATACTTACACACATCTACACACACTCATACATTCATACAGACACACACTTGTCCAGCTCTGCATATGCATGTGGGATGCATCATTTGACAGCATATGGAACAGTTCATAGAACATTCTTGAATGTCTTTATTGGTGCAAGGAAGTACATAACCATTGCTGAGCAGGCAGAAGAGAATGCAGTGAGATTGAAAACCCAACACCCCTACCGCTTCCAAGCAGGTGGCATGGCCCGTGGCATCCGTGCTGCCCTTCTGGCTCTGGCTCTTTCCATTTGTCTTCAAGGTGGGCGGGCCCAAGGACGTGTGGCCATCAGCACAGGTGCTCGACCAATCAGGTCCCGCTGTGAGCCCCCCACCAGCGAGGCGAGAGCCCCCACCGGGCAGCGTGGGGTTCACGGGTCCTCGTCCCTGAAGACTGTCAGGTTGTGCTCCCGGATGTGTCCCAGAAGGACCTGTCCTCGCCGCTCCAGGGTCTGGAGAACCTGCCGCAGGCCCCGCCGCCCGCCGTGGCTTTCCCAGAACACCGGGTCCACCTGCAGCGACTTGAGCAGCATATTCTGTAGACACCCTGACCGGAGCACCTTCACGACGGACTCGGGGAACCTGGACGAAAGTGCCCGAAGGTCAGAAGAGAAAGGAAAAGCAAACGTGACCTCGGCGTTTCCAGCGAGGTGAAGCCCAAGACCAGAACTTGCACCACCCGGAACCCCGCTCCCAAGGGCCGCCCCTGGGTGCTGGTCACCAGGGGCTCTCCCACCGCTGAGCGGCGCGAGCAGGCAGGGAGGGAGCTTTCAGAGGGCCCCATGTCACAGAGGAGCCAGGCCAGTCCTCGCTGTCCTTCCGGGGACCATGCCTGCTGCTCTGCTTGGCAAATGCCAGGACTGAGCAGGGAGACGGGCTGCCAGGCTGCCAGGCTGCCCCCGCCCATCGAGGGCAAGGAAGGGCTAGCCTGCCTCGACCCCAGCAGGGCAGTGACGTCCTGTGGGCCAGGAGCTCTCTGGATCCTGGGGGCGGGCACTCCGTGCAGGAGTGGAAGGGCCCGCTGGCTGACACCTCTCAGCTCTCCCAGGTCCCCACAGCCCTCCCCAGGCTCAGATCTAACAGCTTTCGTCTGAAGGCAGACTATGGACTTCTCCAGAGCCCCGACTGAAGGTCCCATGGTCTCCAGCAGGGCCATCAAGCCTCAGTCCCTGAACCTCCACCCACCCCCTTTGACCCTCACCCATCTATGCCCTCCAGCAGCCGGAAGTTCAGCCTGTCCTCAGGGTGCTGGAGGTGGGCGGCGTTATCGATGTAGACCAGACGAGATGGATCGCTGCTCCGGACCTCAGGGAGAAGATGGGCAGAGACAGAGGTGGGGGAGGGTGCAGCCTAGCTGGCGCCCAGGGACTGTGTCAGGGTGAAGCGGCTTGGGGGCCCTGAGCTGTCAGTCCCACCGTCCACCTGCTACTTGCCAGATGGTCCCCAGGTGCTGAGCAGTCAGCTGACCGTGCTGACACTGCTCAGTGCTTCCAGGCATCATCTCAGTGAGCCCTCCCAGCAACCTGAGAAGGGGGCCACTAGTGTGAGAACCAGGCACAGAGAAGTTGTAATTTGCACTAGGTCCCATTGCTAACAAATAGCTTGCTGGTTCAAACCTGGGCCGGGCCACAGCGCCATCCTCTGGAACTGCAAGGCAGGGGGACTGAGTCCTGCTCTGGTGGCCAGAGGGGTGAGGAGCTTGGGGGAGAACGGGGCAGGTGCAGAGGTAAGCTGCCCGGCAGGACTGCAGGTTGTACGGCACAGGTATAGGCTCACACACACAGCTCACCACCACCCCAATACCTGTGCCCAGTTTTACGTGTTATTCAAAGGATTCTGCTACTAAAAGGAACAGGATTGGGAACCCCTGGACCACACGATCCCAGAACCTCACTAACAGCATCTGCGGAAGGAGACAGGAAGACCGGAGTCCAGGAGACGAGGGACATACCAGGATGTGGACCAGCCGCAGCTCGCCCGGGTTTGTGCATTTCTCCCGGAGCCCCTCTTCCACACAGGGCTCTGAGGGCTCAGGCTCAAAGCCACAGCAGTAGCGATCCAGGCGGTCATGGACCTGTGGGGACACCCATCCTGAGGGCGGGTGGCACAGCACCCAGGCCCGGTCCCCGAGTCACACGCTGGGGGCAGTCCTCAGTGGCTCTGCAGCTGGCCTCCAGCTCCTAACGGGGCCTCTGCCCTGCCCCTCTGGCCGGTGGCCCGCCCTGCACACTAAGCTCAGGCCAGTGGGGATTCCAGCCGTACCCACCGCTTCATCCACAGCTGCTCCTGCGCTCGGGCCTGAGGTCTCGGGTCTTATGCTGAACGCGTCCCCTTGGGAGGCCACACATGACTCCAGGCCTTCAACTTGCTGCAGTGTTTACTTCCCAAGAAAGCTACAAGGAATCCTGGCCTGTGTGACACGTGTATCGCTGGCTTCCCCAAATCTTCGCCCATTTAGTGTCTAGCAGGAAGGGGCCCAGTCACCAGTTTGATTATTGAGCCACACCATCTGGTTATTTTTTCCCACTTAAGAGAAACTCCGTTAAATAACAGCAGACTAGCAGCCAACAAAACCAAGTTCAAATTTCATGTCATGTCCACAGCCCTTCAGGATTTGATTCTTTCCTCCCTTTTTTGAAAAATGAGGTGCTACCAAAAGAAAAAAAAACCCCAAAAACAACAAAAAAAGCCTTCGCTATTCTGATTTTCTGACCAACCTTCCAATGTTGCATAATCATGATGTGAACTGAAGTTTTTGTTTAATTGAACTTAAGCCGTTGTAAAGCCCTTACTCTGTGCCACGTCCCACTCTTCGTGCTTTGCACACCACTAACCCCTCCCAGCAGCCAGGAGGTCGGTCTGTTATTATTCCCATTTCAAGGATGGGGAAACTGAGTCACGGGGGTTGGGTAATGTGGGATGGTCCCACAGTGTGCAAGTGGTGGAGTCTAGACCAGGCTTTGATGGCTAAGTTAGAATGTGGCAGGCACCTGTTTCTGGCATCAGCTGATAGCAAAAGTGTAGGTGTGGTTCAAGCTGATCCCAGCACCCAGCACTCGTGCAGCCCAGCCAGGGACTTAGCCGAAGTCTGGGGGTGAAAGAATGAACGGATGAAGTATATTGCTGGCTGGCAGCAGGAAAGATCTAGAGGGGGCTTCACATGAGGACTGTGATCACAAAAAGCCTGCCCATCACGCCACCTCCCTGCCCAGGGTGCCATCACCAGAAGGCATCAGGGGGAGGCCTGGCTCTGTGGTCTCCAAACAGGACATCTGGACAGGACAACACACTGCAGTCTTCCAGGAGGGATACCAGCCCCAGCTGTGGAGGAGGTGTGGCCTGGAGGGAGCCCAGCACAGGCACGAGGGGTGGCCACGTCCTCTAACTGACCCACCAGGCTCCTAGGCCGGGACTGGTTCCTCAGCCAGGGCCTGACCTGGGTCTGGTGGATTCCAGAAGAACCGCTGGCTGTCCCTGGTGGCCCATCCCTCCCCCCAGCCCCAACCCTCATCCATTATAAGATGACTCCGCCTCAGCAGAAACTGTAGAGCTGGCCCAAGTCTGCAGAAACAGGTCGCAGTCATCATGCCATTAATATTTGCCATTGCTCTGGAGGCACCAGCAACGGCATGAGGTAGGAGAAAGAAAGGTGATTAGAAGCTATTCATTACAGATGAAATGATGGTGAACTCGGAAAGCCAAGGACAAAGCAAATGAAGTTAGCAGGTGGCCAGTAACCAAACTAATACACAGAAATAACAGCCTCTACACAGACCAAGAGCTACGGGCCAGATCCTATAAAGGAGGAGAAAGGTCCTGTTTTCAATGGCCACAGAGGACGAAATACCCAGGAATAACTGAACATGAAAGCAAGGACCCAGCTGAAGGAAACTGATGCCTTCGGGAGCGTGAAGAAAGGGAGAGACACATCCTACTCTTGGCTGGAAGACTCTACATTTTAGGGTGTAAATTATTTCTGTCTTAGTTCACACAAACTTAATTTGATTCCAATAAAATCCCAAAAGGACTTGGGGAGGAGAAGGAAGTAACAAGCTGACTCATAAGTTTCATGAGAATAGTATGCAAGAATATGGGGGAAATTCTAAGAAAGAGCAATGAGAAAGACCACACCCTGTTAGTTAGCAACATAAATTATGAAGCACAGTAATTAAAACAGTGTGATTCTGGCATATAAATAGACCCTTTACTGGAACAGAAGAGTCCAGAAATAGACCTACATACATATGGAAACTGGCAACATTGCAGATGGGGGGAAGATGGATTATTCAGCAAATGGTGCTGGGACATTTGGGTTGCCATTTGAGGGGGGGAAATCACTCTTTTGTACCTTATCTCTTGCTCCAAATAACTTCCAGATGGATCAAAGATATATGAAAACACATGGGAGAACTTTCAAAACAGCCTGAAAGTGAGGATGGCCATCTATACTAATAAAAGAGTAGTATGCTAATTAGACGAGGAGACCTTCTGGACGTCCTTCCAGACAAAACTGGGGGCTTGGCCAGCCTGCAAACCGCTCCCAAATGGCCCTCAGCCCCTCACCCAGGCCAGCCATGTCCCCCAGCGGGGACCCTCACCCTGACGGGGGTGTGGCCAGCCTGCAGTCATCAGTCCCTTGCCCAGGCCCACCCTGCCCCCAGCAGGGACCCTCACCCCAATGGGGGCATGGCCAGCCTGTAAAACTCCAGTGGCCCCTTGCCCAGACCAGCCCTGCCCCGCAAGGGGACCCCAACCCTGATCCAGGACCCCCTTCAGGGCAGACCAGCCGGCCCCTACCCGTGCCCCAGGCTTCTATCTATACTAATAAAAGGGTAATATGCTAATTAGACCAGACGTCCTTCCAGACAAAGCCATGGTGGTGGGGGCCAAGGCAGAGGCAGTTAGGGGTGATCAGGCTGGCAGGGGAGAGCAGTTAGGGGGATCAGGCTGGCAGGCAGGTGAGCGGTTAGGAGCCAGCAGTCCCGGATTGTGAGAGGGATGTCTGACTGCCAGTTTAGGTCCAATCCCACAGGGATGGCAGTCAGACATCCCCTGAGGGGTCCCAGATTAGAGAGGGTGCAGGCTGGGCTGAGGGAAACCCCCCATGCATGAATTTTGTGCACCAGGCCTCTAGTCTATAATAATAAAAGCGTAATATGCTAAGTAGACCAGAAGTCCTTCCAGACGTCCTTCCTTCTGGACAAAGCCACAGTAGGCGGGGGCTGAAGCAGAGGCAGCAGAGGCCCCCAGCTGCAGCGACGGCCGGCGAGGGCTGGGGCCAAGGCCCTTGCATGAATTTCGTGCATCAGGCCTCTAGTTTGAAATATAATATATGAACCTAGAAGTCATAAAAGAACAGCTCAATAATAGACAAATTTTAAAAATTTCTGCATAGCAGCATCTGGCACCCTATGGATTGTATGTGTGGGTGTGTGGCGATAGCACATGTGAGCTTATAAGGTGCATGGATAAGTGTGCATTTGTTTGAGATGTTGTGACTGATTTGGTGATTGTCCAACAAATATTTTTTCCTCTCCGCCTTCAGCTCTGGGCAGTGTGCTTCCCTTCCCTGACAATGGGCTTGGCCATTCACGCGCTTTGGCCAAAGGAGTATGAGTAGAGGCCTTACATGTGCTCCTGCAGTTTGGTTGAGCTCTTTGGCTTGCTCCCTTCCCTGTTGCCCAGGTGGTACTGCTCCTGCAGCCTGGGCTCCAGAATGAGAAGTCAAGAGCAGTCCTGAGCCCACCCACAGTTGGACCAAGTTCAACTAAGCCCCACTGACCCACAGACCCTGGAGCAAGACACGGAGAGCTGGTGTGTTAAGCTGTTGAGTGTGGGCGGGTTTTGTTACGCAGCATTATCTCTACAGTCACTAATTCAGAACGCTATGTGGGATGTGAAAAGCATAGGACTTGTGGGGGTATAAGGAATGTGTATGTGCACAGTTCTTGTGTATTGTGTCCAGGTAAACGGTATGCTGCGATACACACACAGAGAAAAATAAGGGTTTATACTGGATCAAACAAAACAAAGGAGCAAGCACACCACAAAGTGGGCTGTATGTGGAGTCCGTTCCCAACTCCCGGTCAGAAGGAGCCTCCAGTTCCTGTGCTGGGAAACCCACAGCCCTGCCTCTCTCCACGTGCCAGTGGTTTCTAGGAAGGTGGCATCAGCCAGAGAGGAGGATTGGACTGGACCAGTCTTCAGCAGACCAGGGAAAAGGTGGCATGAGGCCAGCCGAGTCGCTTCTGACCACACACCCAACCTGTGTGTGCTTTGGCGTCGGGGACTTGCATCCCCACAGCAGGCCTTGGCAGCTGAGGGAGGTCCCACACCGCAACCCCAGGGCGGCTGGGACTTGGCTGAGGGAGGTCCCACACCGCAACCCCAGGGCACAGACAGAGGGCCTCTGTGTGGAGCAGAAAGCTGCCGTGTGCACATCAGCTGGACCGAGGCTTTGCGCGGAGGTGCCCCAAGCTCCAGGGCATCCCTGCGAAGGTCCCCTCTTCCTGCCCTCGGTCACGGCGAGGTGACTAGTGATGCTCATTGAGAGGTGAGCTCTGGAGTCAGACCGTCCAGGCTGCGTCTCTGCTCCTCCAGCCGTGACCTTGGACCAGTAACTTCACTGCTCCGGGCCTCAATTTCTCCCCTTTAACAGAGTAGTGTCTCACTCATAGCTTGTCATAAAGAGTAGATGAGTTAATTCCTGACCAGTGTCCGGGGCAGTGCCTGCTCATTCTTGAGCGTGTGCCTCCACCAGGCACCGTCTTAAGTACATTTCCCAAAGGATCTCCTGTGCAGAAACCTCACAGGTCAGTGTTGTCATCTGGGATAGACCGAGACGAGGATTCAAGTGAAAGCAGTTTATCTGTGAGCCAATCCCAAAACCCAAGCAGGGGACGAGACACAGCAACGACCACTGCGGGCACCCGGTAGGCAACCCTGAGAAACACACGGAATATGCACCACAGAGCGACCCCAGACCAGACAGGAAATAGCTGATGCCTACAGTCCCTCAGCTACCCCTGTGCTCTGACTGGGGGTCCCCAGAAACTCCAGCCTGTTCCCCAGAAACTCCAGGTTACCTGCTGGCTGGCACAACAGGGACCTCAGCTGCCCTGTGGCTTCCTTCGCTCTTCAGTCTTCAGGCTTGACCTGTATCGTCCATTTCTCTCTCTTCTCTCTCTCTCTCTCTCTCCCAGGCTTGACCTGTATCGTCCATTTCTTTCTCCTCTCTCTCTCTCTCTCTCTCTCTCTCTCTCTCACTCTCTCTCTCATTTTTTAGTTACACAGCCATGTTGATCCTTGCCGAGTCAAGGATATAACGCTATAAACAGTCGTGTGCTGGTAAATGTTTAACTCCCCGGGAGGAGGGGGCCCATATGCAACATGTGCTGACTCTCACGGTGACAACAGCCCCACCTTGGCCAATCCGAGCTGCCAACACGACTGACAGGGGAGCTGACAGAAGACGAGCCACCGCTACACAGTATTTCCCAGACAGACGCAAACAGCCTCAAGAGCACAGATAACAGCGAAAATGTGGTGAAAGAATTAGGAAGTAATGGGTTGCTGATCATTGTTAGGTTATATAATTTAATTTTTTCCCTTTTTTGTTTTGTTTTCTTCTTTATAATTAAAATTTTTAAATGCCTGTGTTTCACAACCAGCTCACAAAACTAAAAATATGAACCATCAGCTCTCCTGAGCTGGCACTCGCTACTCCAGCACTCGGAACTGGATGAATAAGCCCAGAGGCTGGAAAATAACAAGAACGGGTGCCTGGTGCTCAAAAGACAAGACTGGGGGGAGTGTCACCATCCATCCCCACTTCTGCTGCCCTCCGGGGCTCAGCCCGGCCCCACATACCTGGAGCAGGAAGTCGAAGAGAGCCAGGCGTGCCCACTCAGCATGGTGGATGCCCAGGCAGGGCGCCTGGTCTGGCTCGCTGCAGCCACGTGCCAGCAGGGCCTGGTACTGCAGCCAGCCCAGGGCCAGAGAGTTCTGGTCGTTGTCAGGGTCACCCAGGTGCTGCACGTCAGGTGCCCACCAGATGACGGGCCTGGCGCCACCGTCCGTGTAGCGGTAGGGCAGCAGGGGGCTGTGGAAGCGCCGGGCCACCGCCGGCAGGCTCCGGTGCAGCCCCAGCACGCGGTCCACGTGGAAGGACAGGACCTCGGACAGGTCCCCGGGCCTCTTGATCAGGCCGCAGAGTCCCTGGGAGCAGAGTCCGCTGAGCCCAGGAGACGCGTCCGGAAGGGCACCCTCAGCAGAGAAGCCGACCTGCAGCACCTGCCCGTGGCCGGGGACCCTGGCTTTGCCCACCACCTGCCCCTGGGCCAACAGCCGGAGGATCTGCACGTCATGTTCTGTGAACCATGGGGGCACCAGGCCGTCGGTCCCTGAGCCGGTCAACAGCCCAGGGGGCTCGGGGGCACACCACATGGATCCCTGCAGCTCCCCGACGGAGCCAGGCCACCGACGAGTCCCCGTGGCTGGGCTGGGATTCCCTGCTTGCTGCCCACCAGTCAAGGCTCTGCTCCCAGCTTCTGGCAGATCCCTGCCTCTCCCTGGATGGGGCCGCAGGGTCGGTCCAGCAGCCGCTCTCTGGTGCCCTGTGATGGGGCTGACCAGGGCGCTTGTGTCACTCTGTGCCTCCCGGATGGGACCGTCTTCCCAAGGGGGTCGCAGGTCTTTGACTCCTGGACTCCTGACCTCATCCTCCCTCAGGGGCACAAGACGCGGGGTCCTGAGTCTCAAATCTCCGAGAGATGCCAAAGCAAGTTCCCTCTTGACCCTCCGGACATGCCCGCTGTCCCCTCCTGGGGACCTGCTGCTGTCCACTCGCCCTCGGTGGCCTTGCCCCTCAGCACACACCGGGACGGGGCTCGTGGGCAGGGCCCAGCCTCTCCAGAATCGCAGGTTCCTTGTCCACTGCCTCCAGCGAGAGCTCAGCGCCTGCGGGGCGTGGGGGCCAGGGGTGCCGGTGACGCTCTGGGGCTCCATGGTGGCCTGAGGCTGAGCGGGGAAACGGGTGACAGCCAGCACAGACAGCGTCATCAGGAGGCAGGAGGCCATGACCAGCCGCCTCTTGCCCCGCAGCTTCCTCCGGACCCAAGGTGCCTGGGAGGTGGGGTAGAAAAGAAAGTTTGAGACCTGGGATAACATCAGCCCAACCCACAATGCAATGGGGCGGCGGAAGGGAGGCCCATCCTGGATCCCTGAGAGGGAAAGGCACGGAGCCCAGGCGAGTGGCATCCAACCGCCTTCCAGAGAGGTGGGCACCTCGGCCAGCACTCCTGCTTCAAAGCTTGGCTTGTCTGCGTCCAGGGCAGCCTTGGCAATGCCTGCAGGCAGACATGGGCTTCCCCCTTGAATAAACCTCCATATGACACTGGTCACCAGGCACATAAGGGTCTCTCCCACGTCTGTCCCCACCGCTGAGTGCCGGCCCTCTCCTGATCTCCACGGGAGTCCCAGGGCCACTCTGCAGGCCTCTGGTTCCCCCAAACACACTCTTCCCTCTCCCAGGGGCACAGATCTACTCAGCTACGGATGACTCCGCCCAGCCTCCCTGCAGCCAGGGGTGGCCACGTGACTAAGTCCTTGCCCATGGCAGGAGTCCTTGCCCTTCTTGCTCAAAAGGACGTTGGCTGCCAGCCACCAGCTCTGCACCTGTTGGCAAGGACACGCCCTGGGGCAGTGATTTTCAACACGTGGTCCCGGGACCATCACCATCAGCATCACCTGGGAACTTGTCAGAAAGGCAAATTCACAGGCCCCAACCCAGAACTACTGGATCAAAGCTGGGGCCCAGAAATCTGCGTTTTTACAAGCTCTCCAGGTGACTCTAATGCTTGGGCACCCTGGAGTCACCAGAAGGAAGGAGCTGGGGAGCCTCCAGGACCCATGGGAGCAGGGCTGCCAAGAGCAGTTTGAGCCACTGTGTTGAAGTCAGAATTTATTCATCTTATTAGCTATTCAACTTAAGACAGAAGGCAGTTCTATTTTTAATACGTTGAGAAACCTCCATGCTGTCTCCCAAAGTGGCTGTACCAATTTCTCAGTCTACTACAGGTGGTAATTACTTTTAGCATAAAGGGGGTGACTAGCCCAGCCGGTGTGGCTCAGCGGTTGAGTGTCAGCCTAGGAGCCAGGATTCCCGGTCAGGGCACTTGCCCTGGTTGCAGGTTCGATCCCTAGTAGGGAGTGTGCAGGAGGCAGCTGATCAATGATTCTCCCTTATCATTGCTGTTTCTGTCTCTCTCCCTCTCCCATCCTCTCTGAAATCAATTAAAAATAAATAAATGAAGGAGGCAGTTACTCCACAACTTGCTTTGGTTGACATGGCAACATGTCCTGAGGTGGTTTCCATCTCTACCTTTTTCAATGTAAAGTTACTTAACTGCTACACAATGGTTCCCAGGGGGTACTGTGCCACAGTCCTTTACCCATTCCTCTACAGCAGCAGTTCTCAACCTTCCTAGTGCCGCGACCCTTTAATACAGTTCCTCATGTTGTGGTGACCCCCAACCATAAAATTATTTTCGTTGCTACTTCATAACTGTAATTTTGCTACTGTTATGAATCGTCATGTAAATATCTGATATGCAGGATGTATTTTCATTGTTACAAATTGAACATCATTAAAGCATAGTGATTAATCACAAAAACAATATGTAATTATATATGTGTTTTCCGATGGTCTTAGGTGACCCCTGTGAAAAGGTCGTTCAACCCCCAAAGGAGTCTCGACCCACAGGTTGAGAACCGCTGCTCTACAGGAAGGGTCTTTAGATGGTTTCCCTTTTTTTAAAAAAAAAAGATTTTTTTAAATATATTTTATTGATTTTTTACAGAGAGGAAGGGAGAGGGATAGAGAGTTAGAAACATCGATGAGAGAGAAACATCGATTCAGCTGCCTCCTGCACATTCCACACTGGGGATGTGCCCGCAACCAAGGTACATGCCCTTGACTGGAATCGAACCTGGGACCCTTCAGTCCGCAGGCCGACGCTCTATCCACTGAGCCATACCAGTTAGGGCTTGTTTCCCATTTTTATTACAGCCAAGAACTCGGCACTGAAGGTCCTGTCCACACAGCTCCGGGGGGAAAGGTGAGGGTTTCTGTAGAGGAGACCCCGAAGGGTGAAGTGATGGGCCCCACTCCTTCTCATTGACGTTAACTTCTCACGGCGTGTCAGTGAGCGTCTCCTTTCACCCCCACAAGGACATACG